ATCAATAGTAACCTTGTCATTATTTTACCATAAACAATCAGCATTAGTGGGGCCACTTTACACCTTTCAAATTTATTTTCTCAGTTTGCGTGCTAGAAAATGTTTTACAAATTTTTGTATGCGGGTGGCCACATGGTGCGATAGGGGTTACTTGTAGAGTTGTAGGGTGTTACTTGTATTCTGGGGTTACTTGTAGGATGTTACTGGTTTTGATCAGGGTGCGTGTTACTTGTATTTTGGGGTTACTTGTAGGATGTTACTGGTTTTGGTCAGTGGTTACTTGTAGGGTGTCACCGATTTGGTTATAGGGGTTTGGTTTGGGGTTACTTGTAAGTGTTACTCAGAATATAAGTAACACCTACAAATAACCCATACAAGTAAATCCAAAATACAAGTTACACCTATAAGTAACCCCTGACAAAACCAGTAACACACTACAAGTAACCCTTGACAAAACCAGTAACATCCTACAAGTAACCCCTGCCGCACCATGTGGCATGCCGCACTGAAAAACTCAGTTAAAGGATTTAGGGTCATTTTGAACTTCTTAAAGATCCAAATTGAGCTTCGATTTGGGGAAAAAAATATGTAAAAGCTGAAGGATTTATGTCTTCGTCGTGTGCAATTACTAGATATATCAATGAATCAAATTATGGAGATAATTAAGTTCGTACATTTGGGTCGTCGTTTTATCATATAGTTAGAGGTACTAACGATATTTGGGCTAGTAAAATAGCCCAAAGCCCAATTGGACGGATCCTATAAGGTCACACAAAGGGTCTAGATTAGGCACGAGAGGACGAGGCCCATGATGGGCCTCATCCCCTAATATGGCCGGCCATGAGGAGTAAGATTGAGGGTTTTGGGCTTCCTAACCCTAGTCTAGTTATAATGTGATTATAAATAGACTAGGTGCCTAGGGTTTGCAGTATGCAATTAATTGATCAGTGAGATTAAACCCTAATTAGAAAACACGAGACCAACCCCTCTCATACTCCTCTCTATCTCATGGATTTCTCTCTCCTCCTCGGCGCCAGTGTGGTGGTTCATGGTGGTGGTGGTGGATCGGATCGTGATGGTCGGCTTAGTCCATTAAAGGTGGTGATCGCAGTTTTCCTCAATCACTCGACCAATCTAGTATTGGTGGACGTCTCGTTCGAAGCTCGTGGACTAAGTAGAGGAGCAACTCTTGGGGCTCTATTCTGTCCCTGATTTGTCAATCAAATTGCTACGTGGAATTCACGCTTCAAAGGTATGATTATGTGTCTTGTGTGTTATGCATGTGATCTTGGGATTATGTACTTGATTGAATGTGATTCATGATTTTCCGATGCGTAGTACCTATGAACTCCTACAAAAGCCCCACTTGTGAAATCGAATAATTAAAAGAATAATGATAAAATAGGGCTTTTATATTGTTTTATAGCCAAATCCAAGCTCAATTTAAATTCTTAAGGGTCAAAATAACCCCTAAAAACCTTAAACGAGATTTTTTTAGCACGTAAGTCGAGAAAAATAATAATAGGTTAGAGTGGGCCCCACTAACAGTGACCGTTAATGGTAGGATAACGGCAAGGTCAGTATTGATACATAATCTATATTATTATCTATAATTTATAATATTATTAAAACTCATGGGAACAACATGGTATGCCATATGTCACCCTTACTTATGAGTCGGCGCCACATTTGTGTCATGTGTCATCCTATGTGTGTTTACCATTCTCTCTCCCACATTGAATAATTGTAGTAATGTAGTCACTTTGAAAAACTCTTCATTGTGTCAAAAAAAAAAAAAAAAAAAATCCCTACCGTTCATTGGTTTGACTTTAATTCTCTATAACAATGTTTAATTTACTTGAAAAACTCTTCATTGGTGTGACTTTAATTCTCTATAATAGTGTCTAATTTACTTAAATAACTTTTCATATCTATAACCTCTATATTTAAATGAAACATATCTTATACGAGTATATATAAATGAAAGATAATATAGATTATTATATTCATGCACTTATTAATATTGTTTAAATATTAACTCTTTTTAATTAATTTTGATCAAACTTATAAAATTATGATTTATCAGGGCATCGCCCGGGCCAACAACTAGGAGTTCCAATCCGCCATGTGTTGCTTTGTTTTTCTTATTTAACCACATCATCAAACTCCCACGTCATCAAACCTTTTCACCCTATCAATTGGCTAGCACCAAATTAAAGGAAAAATGGAATTTGTTAGCTAATCAAGAATTTCCCACATAAGAAATTACATATCAATGTGATAAAATTAGCAATTTTCACCACCAACAAGTCATTACTAGATTCTTTAATCATAAACTTAATTTTTACTTGATTTACGCTAAATAGTTCAATGGTCTTAATGAATAGCCCAAAATATAGTTGTAATTGACATTGTTCATAATCATAGATGGAACACTAATTAAGTTTGTAACTAAGAATAAAATAATCTGAAAATATATTCAACCTTTTCACCTTCATACGGAATACTACATATGATTCTTGGGTTTTTTTTTTACAAAAAAAAAATATTTTTTAAGTATAGTCAATAACATCACTAATTCCAACCTCAATTAATTATTTCATTGCTGCCATTAAACCCTTTTATATAAATCCTCTCTTTCTATCAAATATTTCATTACTAATCACCCTTATATAGAATATGTCAGAGAGAGATCACTAAGAGAACGACTGATATACTTTGTAGTATTTTGTGTTTGTGTTGTTATATATGGAGAGGAAGATTGCATTGAGATCAATAAAAGAAGGATCTAAACAACCAATGCAAGAGTGAAAAGGTAAACATGCAATTGTCATCCATATACATGATGATGAGCAAGGGTATAACAGTCTGTTACAATTGTTGTAAAAGGTCTTAGAGTGAAAGAAAGGGCCAACAATTGGCTTAGCTTAATTCGTAGCTTAAGTTCATGGATTCAAAACATATACCATATATATCTCATCTCATTCCATAGTACAATTCGCTTGATTCATTCATGTAATGCAATGACTCGATGCAACGCTCGGGCCACCAACTAGTTGTAAGTTAAATGTTACAATGTGTAACTTTCAAAAAGAGGGGGCATAGTTGGGAAAAGCCCATACTAGAGGGTTAACATAAAGTCATTGTGTATTTGCAATATATGTTTATTAATGTATAAGAAAATAAAGGCTATCATTATTAATAAATCTTATTATTATGAATTTGTGCATTGCACGAGGCCAAAAAGTAGTAAAACAAAAAAATATGTTGAGAACTTTTTCTTATTTCATGTAAGTACTTCCCTTTTTATTTTAGTGTTATACTTTGACCGACACATCGTTTTTATGAAAAGTTTACAACAGTCTTTTGAAATATGACTACCATAATATTTTAATGATTATGTAGTTTATAATTGACATTTTTTTCCCAAGTAATTAATATATTACTTTATTTTGGGTATAATATAGTATTATTAATATTTTTATTTTATTTATCAACATTTTTTTTCACTTATGTAATTTCTATTCTTATTTTATAGTTTCTCGAAAATATTTAATTTATGTTGGATTAAGAATTTTTAAAATTATATATTCGTTGGAGACATTAGAAGACTAACTGTAGCTAGTCATTTTATAATGTGAAAAAATGAACCGATCATATTGTATAGCATGAAAATAATAAAGTAGTCATTTTTCAAATGACCGCAGTAAATGTAAGTGACTGAAGTATTAAAAATTATAAGAAAATATATATTGGAGTTATTACTTTATTTAAAAGTAAGAGATGTGATAGAGAATGTAATAATACAAAAATAGTAGTGCGTTTGAGTTTGGACTAAGAAAAGAGTAAATTATAATATTTAAAATTTTTAATAGATAATGTTGCTTAAAAAAAAGTGAAATGCTTAAAAAAAAGGCCATAAAACTATACTTGTAAAAGATAAGTGTAACACTACAAAAAATAATGGAAAGTCCTAAAATAAGATGAACTAAACAATTCCTCTTGATTATTCATTAGAATCACGAGTGGATGCAAGAAGAATTGGATAATCTCTTTTTTTAAAAAATAAAAAATAAAAAAAATTGTGGATAAATCAAATGGTGCTCTTTGGAAAAAAAAAAAAAAAAAAAATAGGATTAATTATAAAACGAATACCCCATAATTTTTTGTTTATTCACCATATACTCATGAAAATTTGCAGATTCACCATATACCCCTAAGTTGTTAAAGTAATTCACTATATATCCCTAATAAAAATAAGATGAGTGGAATTTAGTTAAATATACCTCGAAACCACCTTAGATCTCTCCCTCCCTCATCCCAAAACCACTCATCTCCTTTTCCAACTCCCGAAACCATTCCAAATCTCTATAATCATATCCATATGATTGATTTTGAGGATGAGAAAAGGAAATTTATGGTGGTTTGGGGGTTGGAAAAAGAATGTGGGTGGTTTCGAGGTTTGGGGAATGTACTTAGAGTGGTTTCGGTTCATAATTAATTTTAATGATTAACAAAATTAACAATCATAAGTCATTAAGGGTATATGGTGTATTTTTGTGAAAACTCAAGGGTATATGATGAATTTAAAAAAGTTCAGGGGTATATGATGAATAAACAAAAAAATTAGGGGCATATGGTGAAAAACCCGTAATTAAAATGTTGTAGTGGTAAGAACTTTTTGAAATTGGTGAAAATTGATTTTGAAAACAGACATAGGTTGTGTTATATTCACTTGACTTTTACTTATCTAATTAAAATTTATTTTAATTGTAATTTGAACTTAGGCAACCCTTATCAGAACTTATTTTTCTTCAACGAAACTTATTAAACCGGAAAATAGTATGGAGGATAATTCTACAAGTAATTTTTTTTGTGTATTTCAACTAACTTAATTGGTTAAATTTTAGGGAAATACTTCTCAGTACCCAATACTATACATGACATAGTACTTGTAAGATCAATAATCAATTATACAGTAGTAAATAAGATTGGAACACTTAGAGCAACATTGAGGAATTGTAAGATTATTTGCAACACAACGATGGAAGCATGCAATTGTGATAACGCCACCCAACGGCAAACCATCTTCAACATGCACAAAATTCTTGCATGAGAATTCACAGCTAAATCTAGCAGGATGATCAAAAACCTGTAAAACACAAGTACAATCAATTTAAGAATTGAGTACAAGATTGCTACATGCCTACATAGCACCCATCACTCAATGAGCAATGAACCCTCTAAAATCATTAGGGTTCAAAGTTCGTCGATCAGCTTGTGACCAACATCGGAACTACTCTAAATCATCCTATGGTGAAACTCCTGCCCTACTTTATGATATTTCTCTATCAGTATTGAGTTAAAGCCAACCATTCATTATCAGAAATGCCCAAAAAGAGCAGTAGTATCTAGTTTCAAGAGTCTTTCTCACTAGGTTTATTTAAATCTTGGATCTCGGTATCTTTCACCGGCTGAAGCAGCTGGTCTGGGATGGCAGCAGGATCCAGATCCCAGCATTCATCTGGCAAATTAGTCACCTCTTTGAGCAACCAAGATGGCACCTGGTGCGAGAATCTGACCATCTCTCTCCTCGGGATCAACTGAACTGCGGCCTTGTCGGTGCTTCTCTGATACACCGTCTTGTACCCCTCTACCTTAACAAGTGGGGTAACACAAATCCCAATCTCTTCGTTGTAATCATCCATTATCTCAACCATTTCATATTGGTGCCTCACGTCGTAAGGAGTTGACCGATTCCAATCCTTTGACCAGTTCCGGTACACTGCCCATATGTCTCCGCTTCTTGGGTAAAGACGAACACACCCTCCTCGGCCTGCCTTCTCCCGGCTTAAGACGTGAGAAAACATGTTGACCCCTTCAATGATGTCAGTAGTGGTCGCTCGGAAATGTCCACAAGATTTTGTGAATCCAGAATCTATCCAATTTACTGCTCCAAACTCAGTATCAGTTTTAGAACCCAAGTAGCTAATTAGAATTTTGAATGGATTCACTGAGATGATCTGGCGTATCAGACAATAAAGGCGGGGCATGCCGTCCTCTTCATCATACAGTGCCCATATCTGCTTGGGTTGGAAGCACTCTTCTGTCCTGTCCTTGTCAAAATCATGGAAGTCAGAGTCAGGAACTGTTAGAGTGACTGGCCCGAGTTTCTTGGGTTCCAAATGGGAGATACCCAGATGTGCTCTTCTCCGAGATTCTCCAGGTTTACCAGGTATATGAGTTTTTTCACCATTCTCAATTGATTCCGATTTCATCTCTTCAAGCCTCTTCCGGATTTCTTTTCTGGCCTTCTCTATCAACAACGTTCTGATATCAATCAGTGGAGGAATAGACCGCTTGACAGAGGATTCATTAGTGGCAGAAAACTTGGGTACAGTGCATCCGTTTTCCTTAGGCATTGCTGCTTCGGTAACAACCTTACCACCTAACTCGTCACCATTTACAGCAGAATTACCACCATTTTCAACCTTTCTTTTCTTATACGGCCTTCTAACATTTGTTGTGCCCGATGATTGATTACAGCCAACGGAACCATTGGCACTTACATCAGCTTTCACCTTTTTCCCAGGTTTACTTGGATATCCGTTACTCTGGTAAAGCGTATCAGCAGAAGTGGTAAATCCATTAGGGCTGACATACCCACCAGAGGATCCCGGGGATGTACTCCATTGAAAAGACACATTTGAAACATATTCAGAGCCGTGACCAGAGTGATACACAGGAACCCCGTTCCCTGAAACATATACAGGACTAGTAGGGTAGAATGACATGTTATGCCCATGACTACTATTGTATCCATTTTCAGGCCCATATGAAAACTGTGAAACAGGATAAGAACCGTTGATCGGAGCTGTTCCCATTTCCACGGCCATAAAAGTAGCACGGCAGTTCTTACATGAGAGCCTCTTATTGACATACTTCCGAAGATATTCGTATTGAACTTGACAAGAAGTGCAAACTGTCCAAAATGTAGGAGGAAGAGAAGACTTTGCACAATTGGTAGGATATGTAGCCCCAGCAACCACTGTGGAAGACAGTTGACCATTCCTCTTGCGATCATATGTAGCTCTTTTAGAAATATCTGACAAATGAGTCCACGCTTCCGAAACAAGCCTAAATGCCCCATCAGCTCCCACAGTTCGATTCTTATCTGGATGTAGCAACACCGCGAGCCTTTTATACTGTCTTTTTACTGAAGATTTATCAGCAGATGGTTTTAACCCAAGAATAGAATAAAAATCAACTTCACCATTAACTTTCCCCTCAGACGCAACATATACATCAAACGTTGCCACCATCTGTGAAATACCTTCTAATTCGGGATACAGCATTTGAGCCTTCAACGCGAAATTCTTGGCACCAACAAAATCCTTCTCAGCAAATCTCTTCTCAGCATGCTGTTTCGCTACAAGAGCCTCCTCTCTCTTCGATTCCATGTCGAAAACTCAACCAACTCGACTCGATACTTCAATTATAACTAGGACCACAAATAGCGCCCATACACTGAAAGCGAGTGGTGCAACAACAGCCCATATCTATATCTCTGCACTTCAGTCAAACCCAGTAGCCAAAATTAAGACCTCACAAAACTAATAAAGACCCAAATTTGAATTTAGTCATTTTCAGTCTTCAATCCCAAATATAAATCAATCCTCTAATTTCTAGGGGACAACAAATCTACGAGGATTTCAATATTATAGCAGACAACTTTTAATTTACGCTAAAGCAAGTACATGAAAATAACAAAATCTAATTAATCAAGTATAAAATCTTCAAAGCTATGTAACAAATTATAACACAAATTCAAGAGCTATGTTACTGAAATTTTAGATCTATAACACAAAAATAGACCCAAATCAACAAACACAAAACCCAGTTGAAAAATACAAAAACCCCAGAAAAATTCAAGGGAATCCTAATTCAACATGCGCATTAAAATTAAAGTGCATAATAAAAATCAAAGCATTAAAAACCCCCATTTCATGAAACTACAAATTACCCACAAAAATTCTACCAAAATCTAAACTTTATTTTGAAGAAGATCGCAGCTAAAGAATCAAATTACAAAAATGCCAAAATAAATAGAAGGAAATCAGCTAATAAATCAGTAGAATATCAACTAAACTACTAAAATTAGCAAAAATTAATTCCAAAAAAAGAAAGTAAAAGTTCAACTTACTGATAGTCCAACTGGGGTGAAAAATGAAGAAGACATAGATCGTATAAGTCTTCAAATCGATCAACTAATTTTTCTTCGAAACTTCTCCAGATTCAAATTATTTATAATTTTTTATGAAAATTTCTGGGTTTTACTGAACAAAAATTAAAGCTAAAAACTCAAACTATTTTATCACCCTTTAATTTTATTTTTTTTTTCCTAGGCTCAATAATTTTTTTTGGAGACTAGGAAAAATCAAAGGGGTTTGAAAATGCAAATGGGTAATCTAAAAAAAAAAAAAAAAAAATTGAGGGGTAAAATTCCGGTGACCGGAAATTAGGAGAGAGAAAAGGGATTAAAGAGTTTTTAAGAAAGGGAAAAAAATAGTTTTACCAAAATGAAATAAAATGATACTTTGTGTAATGTATAATCTGGTTAAAAAGTAAGCGCTGTTTATGGTATTGCTATTTAATGGGAAGAAATACTAAAATGCACCTTAGTGTATAATGCGCATTCATATATTTTTTTTATAAAATATAAAAAAAATAAAAAAATAAGTATAAATATAATAATTATAAAGTTTGATTTATAAATTAATCAAACTTTTTATTTGGGAGTGAATTTGGTGATGGGTAGTTTTGTCCATTTAAAAATAATGTGATGTCATTATATAATTTTTTATTTATTTGTGGAATTAATTATTCTTCATCTTAACATATCTGTTTTTTGATTATATATTAATATTGCAAATTGATATGTTTTGCTTTTTATGGTCAAGTTTGGTGAACAAGACAAAAATTACAATAAATATCCCATTAAATTTCATTCATTTTATTACCTCTAAAGTTAAAATATTGTACTAGTAATAATAATAATCTTAAATGTGGTAACTCCTTATTTGAGTAATATCAAAATTAGAAAATTAATTATTATTTCTCCATGATTCCACAAAATCTTGTTGAACCTTAAACACAAGTTAATTAGGTAGCAAGGCTGTTAAGACTTAAGATCATGACTAAAATTGAAATGATAATTAAGTATTTGCAAGTATGGTATTCCATTCCAAACTATAAGTCATAAAGCTAGAATCAATATCATCAGTACATGTAAATAATTTCTATAATATATGAAACTGTCATTACAAGAATTCCTTGCTTAACTATGTATCAAAAGATTATTACTATTATTTAAAAAAAAAATGAATTGGTTATATATGGGCACACAAAAAAATAAACCTAGTATATGTACCCATAAGGCCATAACATACCAAGTCAGTGAATGGGAGTATAGCAATGTCAATGCTATATTTTAATTTCTTGGTGAAGATTGGCATTGGCTCATTGCTACATTGATATATAACTATTAGGGTTTTTAAATGAATCCTATAGTCTATATTAGATACTCGTTCTTCCCTTTAAATATACTTGCTAATTGTTTATTTATATTATACTTACTATTAACATGAGTAATTGAAAATAAAATATGGTTGCTTCCGTCCAAAAAAAAATGGTTGATTCATAACCCTTAGAAAATAGGAGGGAAATTTTCAGTAAAATTTTATAATGCATGCCATGTTGTGGGAACATTTGGATGGAAAGGGGCTGATGGATCCATTGCTTCTTGTTGGGATAAAGGATGAGGAAAGGGTAGGGAAGATAAATTATATACTTTGTAGTATGTACAACCCAAATATTATTTAGGGTTTTTATGCAATTTAAGAAGCAAGTACATAAATGTAATTTATGTGGGTTAACATTGAATAATGTATACAACTTTATAGTACTTTTTTGGGGGGGAGAAGGAGTGTGTGTTAATAAAAAGAACTATATTGAATCGACATCTCTCACAAATCAGTTAGCTCAATTACACAGGTCAATGTTTGGGGGAAGAAAATTCTCCTATTTCAAAGCATATGTAAATTAGAGCTTGAACTTGTAACCTCGGGTGATTCTTCAATATACCATATTATTGGAATTTGCTAGATTCAACATATATTTTCGTAAATCATATTATTAAAACTTCTCTCAACTTAATTACATTTATTTTGTTTTATGTAACAAAACTCAAACAAAAGTATGTGAATATGTTAAAAATTATTTTGGTAAAACTTCTCTAAACATATTCTAACTAATCAAAATTTAATTTGTCTAAAATAAGACGATAAAATAAGTTGTAACAAACAAACCCTAAAAGCACACGAGAATGTCGAAGTTCCTACTATAATAACTCTTATTTTGTTTTTCCTCTACAATTGACTCTTACCCAAATCATTAAATTTGTTGCTTCCTGTTGTTAGGTTCTCAACAATTTCTATCTCATACTTTTTGGTACACCCTAAGTCCTCAATTGTAATGCTCCACATCACCACATGTCTCAACATACTATTGCTCCAATGTTTTGGGGAAGTGCTTTGAACCTCAAGCTCCTCGTCAATTAGACAACTTGCCATAACGGTGAGCAAGGTAATCCCGAATGAAGAGAATGAAATATTATATTATAAGGTTGTGAACATCTCTTCTTTAGAGTTAATGAAAGTTTAAGGACTTGTTTTGATTTACTGAACTAAGTTGAGCTGATATGATCTGATTAGAGCTGAACTGAAATGAATTGTTTATGAGAGAAGAAAATTAGAAACTGAACTGAACTTATTGGAGTTAAACTGAACTAAACTTATTGGAGCTAAACTGAACTCAACTGAAATTAAGCTGAAGAGAACAGGTCCTAAGTACTTGATTTAATGTCATGATTCCAACTTAGAGGTAAAATTTTGTACTTTATTTCTTGAGTTGCTTTCCTCCTATGTTTAATTTAGAGGTTGGATATGGAATAATGGATAGTGTAGGGTCGAAACTATAGGTGACTTGAGTAGATCATAACCTCCCCCAAGGTCCAAGTTAAAATATGTGGATTGCTAAACATCGCCCGCAAATCTCCACATAAAGCCCACAAACTTATATTGAAGTTACAATATTGCCCTTGATCTTAAAAAAAAACACAACCTCAATAAAAATCAAAGTACGGGGATGTCGAGGCTCGTGGCGGCAAGGTGGTTGGCTTGTGGCGGCAAGGTAGTGGTGGCTCGTGGCGGCAAGGTGGTGGTGGCGCCAAGTCCGGCAGCCACGTCCACCGGCGTGGCGTTTGGGCAGGACGCCCAGCCACGGTGAGTGGCGTTTGGGACAGGCGCCAGTCACTGTGGCTGGGCGTCCTGCCCAGACGCCAGGCCGGTGGACGTGGCTGCCGGACCTGGCGCCACCACCAGCCACGGGTCGTCCTGGCCAGGCGCCCCAGCTGCCTTAAATTTTATTTTTTTAATTTTTTTTTTTTTTTTTTTGGAAAATCAGAAAAATTTTCTAATTTTTTTTTAATGTGTTTGATTTTTTTTTTTAATATTTATTAATTTTATGTGTTATTTTTTATAAGTCTAGTATATATATTTTTTATAAAATCAAATAAAAAACATAAATTTCCACATCCTAAATCAAAACATAAATTTAATAAACATAATTTAAAAAAATAAAAAAAAAAGGCAAAAAAAAAAATTAAAAAGTAAGGGCGGCGTCCAAACCAGACGCCAGTGCACTGGTGGTGGCGCCTGGCCTGGACGCCAGTGCACTGGTTGAGGCGCCTGGGCTAGACGCCAGTGCACTGGTTGTGGCGTCTGGCCTGGACGCCAGTGCACTGGTTGTGGCGCCTTGCCTGGACGTCCTTGCCATGGTTCCGGCGTCCAAACTAGGCGCCACCTCGTTTTCCGTCGAAGACGACGTATCTCCGGCGACCCTCGCCTCTCCGACCTCCCTGGGCAACCCAGTACGACTCCACATTTGTTAGATCGAGATTTGTTCACTTTGGGTACGATTTTAGAAATGGGCAAAATTGTCAAACCATGTCTAATTTGTGGGCTTTATGTGGAGATTTGCGGGCGATGTTTAACAAATCCCTAAAATATTGCATATAGTTTATTGGAGCTCAATTCGTTTTGTTAAAAAAAGTGATGTACGTGTACATGTAGGCATGTAATGTTCACTTAAAATCTATTTCAAAACAAAGATAGCATATTCCATTTAACCCTCAAATGTAAAAATTATGCTTGTGCCGTTGAGATAATTTATGGCTTTTGGCCAATACAAGGTACATGATCTTAACACCAGATGAGTTGCAATAACATTTTTAAACGATTAGAAGATTGGTAAGGGGTAGGGGAATTTGAAGAAGTGATGTTGAGGTATATATATGGTAGAATTCAGTTTTACATTTTCTTTTTAGACATTATATAACAAAAGGCTCTCTAAATATCTCACCACCGCCAATTTATACACAATTGCTATTTGTACAATTTTTTAATACAAGGTAACAATAGGAGGGGTTTCCCCAATGCATGCATATCATTTTACACATCATGTTGCTACCTTAAATTTTAGTTTATTAAAAGTTTAAAACTAGTATAATTCTACTCCATTTAAAGTTTGTATACTTTGTTTATACAATGATAGGAATTTTCCAACAACAAAATAATGCCCTTTTTTTTTATTTTGCTAAATATACTTTGCTTAATTATGAAGGATCGAACTTGTACCAAATAAATAAATAAAATAACATGATATGCAAATGGAGTTTTATTAATTCCTTTATTTTACTAATTTTGCAAATGGTACTTTCAAACGGACTCGTTGATGTGCAATTGAAGGATAGGCATGTCCATAATGTTTATGCCTTTGATAGCCCAACTTAAATATGGGCCTCTAACTGCAAACACACTGACAATCAATCCCCTCCGTTTTGGACCCTAGGCCTAGGTCGAGCAATCAATATTTTTTGTAGACTTGACATTCGTTGGTTGTAAATTTACACTCTTGCATATTCTCTTTCTGATTAGTGCATATGATGAACACTTTTATCAAGTATTTTGATTGCCTATTTGGCTATTTATATGAATTCCTACCTACTCCATCCATTTCACGAATATTGTACCATAACGAGTTTTATGCTTGCTACTTAGAAGTATAACTTTGATCATTATCTTTAATTTCAGTATATAACTAGGTTAAGTCCCGTGCCATGCACGATCATAATTAAATTTTACAACAAATAAATCACAAATAATGGTGTAAATTCAACATTAATTTATCTAAAAAAATTATTTGCAATAAATAACTTGAATTTTAGTTTATACCAATACCAAATACTGAAATATGTAAAGGTTATTGAATTGGATTGTATAAAAAAATAATAATATAATAATAGAAATTTAGAAGCTATAAGGTTTTATGTAATAAAATTAAAATATTAGCTTAAATTTGTACCCATTTGCGAATTAATATACATCTATCCTTAAATTATTAACACATTTTCACATAAATATGAAAATTTATTTGATTTCATTTTACTTTAGAATAATCAATATTTCGTAATCAATTTTT